GTCATGTGATCTCGATGACGCAACTGTATACATAGCGTGAGACAAGTGGGAGGCAGCAGGCAGACAGATAATAGCAAACGAGAATAAGGTTGGTGTGAAGTTAACTAATCCAGAAGTAATAGGCCTAACGTTTAATGTGTTAGAGTGAAACTAACAGTAGAAAAGAAGATAAGAAAAATAATTTTATTCCATCAAAGCGTGGTTCTAAAGTAATTGAATCAACCTGACTGCACTTCGACAAAAGGATCAGAGGATCTCCAAAAGAAAGAAGACCAAACGATTACGGTAACTCGCGCCACAATTGTAGTGAATCACAGATAATACTAATGCGATAGAAATAGAGAAGATAGTTCGACTTGTCAACTGAAATGCTGAAGTAATTGAATATGCCTAAGTGAATATTTGACAAGAAGGAGAGAACTACATATATAGTATTTATGATATGTCCATAATATCTAAATTTGTGAAAAATCTATTGTACATACATTAACTTGTTCTGAAAATATACATTATTTTGAAAACAAGTGAAGTGCGCGCTGTTTATTCATCGTTGAATTTATCGTTAACAAGTCACAGACACCTACTGTAGAAGAATCCTAAGCCCAACAACAACATAGTATATATTTATAATATTAAGAAATATAACTAAAAGCCATTTTATTGTGACAATTGGCGAAGATTATATTTTTAAATTCTGACAATAATTAAGGCTGTAATCTTTAGATATAATCTATTTGGCCAATGATGATCATTGCTTTGATTGACTTCCTTGTGCAATGTTGCAGCGGTATTTCCACAAACAGAACAGGTATTATATATTATAGAACAACAAAAGCACACCGGTAACAATAACAAAAATAACTAAACAGTATTCTGGGCCACTTTTTTACGCAAAACCTGTATAGAATCAGCTTAAACGAAAAATTTTGAAACTTTTTACATTAGTATGAGCAGATAAAAATGTACATGGTATATCTGCATATCACACTCTTCCTTACTACTCTGTTTCAGGCTTGTTTCCAAGTAGACTAATTAAGTTTAAACTCGCGACATGGGTAAGAAGTATGCCACTTTCCTCGTTCCTACTGTTACGTCTCCGTTTGTTAATTGATTTTCCGTAACTTCGTTCTGACGAAACTTTAGCGACACAAGTCCTTACTTAATAAAACTGGTTTATTTTTTTCCGAATACAACTTTACGATACACTTATTTTCAACAGTCGCTCTATAACAAACGCTATATCAACGAACGTCAACAATACTTCTGACTA